CAGCCCAGCCCCTTCCGGCTCACAGTCAGAAATAGCTGTGACAAAAGTCCCTCCCATCCCAGAAAGCAGCTTTTAAAAAATCGCTTAAAACAGACACACACGAGGTAGAGGGGACTTTGCCAAGTCCCGACTGCAGGCAGATGATGTGGGCATCACGTCGGGCTCTGAATGGCGGACAGAAGTTCTGCCCAGGCTTTGTGGGTCGGCCCCCTCTGGGCCTTGGTTTCCCCATCTCAAAAATGAAAGTTCGTAGTTTCTTTTCTCTCTCTCTCTCTCTCTCTCTCTCTCTCTCTCTCTCTCTCTCTCTAACAGCAGAAACCTGTTTTCTCAAAATGAATCTTCCTCATGCTGTCAGTCTGGGAGTCAGACAGGCATGGAGCTCTGCGGTTGACGTGCGTCAAATCCCAGGTGCTCACCTCCCACTGTCCCCAGAATAGTCACCCTAAGGCACCCTGCTATGGACTCCAGGGCTCTGAAGAGCTCACTTGAAAACCACCAGGCTAAATGATCACAGTGGTCTCTCTGGGCTTTCAAACCACCCTCCAATCAGCCCAGGCACCAGGGGCGCACACACTCAGCAATCTGCACAGGGAGGGGACAAAGCCAGCCAGCTCCAAATCGCACTGGGCCTGGGGAGGGCAGGAGGGCAGGAGGGCTGCAGGGGCACCCAGACTCCCAAAAGAGTCTCCCCGTCCAAAAGGCAGCTGGCCACCACCACCAGTGCCGGGCAACTTCCTCTACCATCCATGGCAACTCTGTCCCCAGCTGCCAAGCCAGAGGGACCTTTTTCTTGACAACCTCAAAGCTTTCCTGCTTTCTCCTGGAGCCAATGAAGAGAGAGGAAACTTGAAACTCCCCATGTCCGGAGCCTGGACCCTAGTCATCTGAGGCAGAGGCAGGACAGGGAGGGAAAGGCCCAGAACAAAGAAAGGCCACAATGAACGCCCTGTCATCTAGGGAGGCAGAAAGATCAGTCAAGACCCAGGCCCCTTCCAGTCACAGACCTGAAGTATAGAGCAAAATGAGGGGGAACACCTAAAGGAACACCCTCATGTAAAGGTGGTTCTGAGGACCTGAGGCCCAGAGAGGGCAGCAGTCGGCTGGAGGTCACACAGCACCCAGTAGAGTCCAGGTCTCTTGGATGCTGACTTGTTTCGTTCTGATAGATTCAGCAAGAACCTCCCGGCGGAAAGCCCCCAGCTTGCAAAGTCAGAACAGGATATTTCAGTGGCACTGGGTGGTGACAGAGTAGAGATGTTTGTTTTGGTTTCCAAATCAGCGCTTGACAACCTCATCCTTGATACAGTTTCAGCGACCTCATTGCCCACATGTTAAAGACCTGGTTGGGCCAAGGGGAAACCAAAGCAGTGGTGACCAGGGCCAGAATCCAGGCACCCCAGGCCAGGGGTTCTGGTTTGGGCTGGTGTTTTCAAAGCATGTTTTGTGTATCAGTGATGGCACATGAGATGATGTTAGGAGGTACGCAGGTAACATTTTAAATTCAAAATATATTAAATACATAGGTGAATGGCCAAACAAAATGTGGTCTAACTATACAGTGGAATATTATTCAGCAATAAAAAGGGATATCCTGTGGATACATGCCTCAACACGGATGAACCTCAGAAACACTGTCTAAGTGAAAGAAGCCAGACACAAAAGACTATCTATTGTATGATTCTATTTGTATGAAACGTCCAGAAAGGGCAAATTTATAGAGACAGAGAGCAGATCATTGATTACCTGGGCTGGAGTACGCATGGGAATTTTCTGCAAATGTGCATGAAGGATCTTTTTGGGGGTGATACAAGTGGTCTAAAACTAGATTGCGGTGATGATTGCACAACTCTGAATTTACTAAAAATCTTTAACTTGTACACTTAAAATGGGTGGCTTTTGTGATATGCAAACTGTACGTTCATGAAGTCAAAATATTTTATATAAGTAATAGTACAGGTAGTACTTGGGTATGGCCATAGATCGTGGAGGTGGAGTTCAAAAGGCCTCTAGCTGGAAGAACACTGAGCTACACGTCACAGGCTGCCCTTTGGAGAAGCAAGTAGGGGGTCTCCGGAGCTGCAAGTTCTTCCAGGTGAACCAGAGCTTTCCTTGCCTGCAAGCTTTCCTCTCCTGCCCAGGCTCCTTCCTTCCATCACTGGTTGGGGTTCCATGATAGACATCCCAGGAGGATTGAAAGCGTTCAGCGGCCAACAGTCCAGGCAAACACCTTGGTCTGGTCCCTCAGACCATGACTCCTCTTATGGGCAGAGGATCAGAGGTGGGCTGGGCACTCAAACCCAGATTAAGAGACTGTCGAGTCTGGAAAGACCCTTTGAGATCATCTAGCCCAGTGATTTGTAAACTTTTTTTAATGTTGATCGAATGTCCACTCTCTTCCCAAAAGAAAACTTTTACAAGAAACCCAAATATACTTATTATATTTGAGGTTCTTCTAAATGAACAAGTGAGCATGTTAGTGGATACAATGAATTAATATTAAGAACTTAAAAGTGAGTGAGCACACTGTCATCACTGTATTAACTAACATCTTAATGTACTTTTACATAATAATTTTTATTAAATATTCAAGGAACTCCTAAAGCATCTCTAGGAAGCCTGGGGCTTCAAGGAGCACAATTCGTTGCCCATACGGTAAAGACCTGGTTGGGCCAAGGGGAAACCAAGGCAGTGGTGACCAGGGCTAGGATCCAGGCACCCCAGGCCAGGGGCTCTGGTTTGGGTTGGTGTTTGCAAAGCAGGTTTTGTGTATCACTGAAGGCATATGAGATGATGTTAGGCAGTACACAGGTGACGTTTTAAATTTAAAATATATTGAATACATGGGTGACTGGATAAACAAAATGTGGTCTATCCATACAGTGGAATATTATTCAGCAATAAAAAGCGACATCCTATGGATACATGCTACATGATACATGCTACATGGATACATTCCACTTTACAAACAGGGAAACTGAGGCCCAGGAAAGGGAGTATGCTTGCTTTGGAAAAATTCAATGTGAGTCTTGAATCAACTTCAGAAAAGATGGGTCTTTCCAATTTGCCAAAAAATGGAGGAAGAGAAGGTGTTCAAGACCCCAGAAGGGCAAGAAGAGAGTCACCCGCGCTCCACCTGTCTCAGCAGTGCCATCTCATTCCAGACCAGCGCCAGAAGCTGACATCACACCCCACACCCTGGGTGCAACTTGAATATAGAATTGCTCAATGCCAACCCATCTCCCTCTATAACTGGGCACGGTTTTTCCATCTACTTAGCAGCCAGGTCCAAAAAGCACACGCACAATAAAACAAACACAACACAAGCCTGAGGCATGACGACACTATCTACAGTGGCAGGCGGGAGGGCCCGGCCCATCCCTCCCAGTTTCACCATCGAAAGCAGTTTCACCATCCCCAGCCCACCCCAACGAGGCTGACCACGAGGGACAGAGAGGTGGCCTCCCTGTGGCAAGGCACTGGGCCATTCTCAAGTCCTCAAGAGAGACAGGTACTCCGGGAGAGAAGCTTATCTGGCAGTGGAGTAGAAGACCTATCCCCAGAAAGCCAGACCCTGCATGAGAGAGATTGGAAGACTCCAGGCATTTCTACTCCCTGTTAGTTTGACAAAGTACTTATCATTTTTAACAACATCAGCATGATTATTTTACACCTTCCGAAAAGCACCACTATCCTACTCTCCCCTCAAGCAACTACGGGCAGATTTTATTATTCCCATTTCTCTGATGAGCAAACAGCCTTCTGAGTGGCTTGACCATCTCACTGGCAGGTGACAGAGCTGGCATTTGAATCCTACCCAGTTGCTAGCCTGCCCGGGGGGAGAATAAGGAAGGAGACCCATGCGCAGCTCTCTGGGCAGACCTCTAGAGATAGAAGGAAAGGTCCTTCTCAGCACATCCTCCAAGCCCTAGAGTTCAGAGCCACAGCTCCAAATGCAGAGTCGCCCATGCCTAGGACAGCAGCAGCGAGGGCCAGGGGCCCCTCCCCCACCCTAGCTTGAGATGTAACACAGACCCCCTCCTCTTATCGGAAAGCAGACAGTACTGTCTGCCAGGCTGCAGGCAGGAAGCAATGACAGTTTCCCAGCTGGGGAATCTGGGCTGGGCAAGGCGGTCTGCCCCAGCTCTAGACAGATGGTGGTCTCAATCCATTCAATGTCCAGTCTTCCAGCCCAAGGTTATCTTCTCCCGGGGACCCTTAGGGATGAGTTTTTTGGGGGCTCAATAAACCATGAGACTTGCGGAATAGGGAGAAGAGGGACGAAGAGAGGCATTTTTAAGAGCTCGTGGCCAGTGTGATGTGGTTCTGGTTATCCATCCCAGAGCTGGACCCTACAGAGCTGGAGCAAGACGGCAGACCCTGGCCCTAGAGGGCAGGGACAGATCCAGCCGTTTTGAAATAGGTGATCTCATTTAATTCAAGGAATAAAAAGGCAGTGGGCTGGCTAAGACTTTTTTTTCTTTTTACCCATTGGGGGAGGGAAGCTTATCTCCTACATCATCGGGAAAATACCTAGGCTGGGAGACAGACTAGCCAGGGGTGGTTAAAACCACTAGTTCAAATTCAGGTTTCACCACTTATTAGCCAAGCCACCTTAGACAAGTCACTCCGTATTTCTGCACCTCAGTTTCCTCATCTGCGAAATGGGACAAGCCTGTCCTACAGTGCATCGTGTGAGGATTAAAGTGAGACCACATGAAACACGGATGGTTATTATGTCACCTAGAAAACAATGTGCCTGACCAGTGACGGCGCCGAGGGCGCTGAGGTGTCCCCCACCGTCTCAGCACCCGCCCCCATTCTTGGATCTAGAGATAACTGAGTCTTCCTAGCGTGCGTACGCGCTCTGCAAACACAGCTTCCAGCCCACCTGCTAGGACCAGCTGCCCGGCCGGGACCCTCCCGCACGCACATTCCGCGCGGCTGCCGGGACCTGGCTGCCCCAGGCTGGGAGCGGCAGGGGGAGGGGCGACCCCACTCACCTCCGCTTGTACTCGTCGCGCTCGCGCTTCACCTTGGCCAGCACGTTGTAGAGCGCGCGGATCTCGGGCGTGATGGTGTCGATCTGCACGCCCACGCCGTCGGGGTGCACCCACGACACGCCGGGGCCCTGCACGGTCTCCACGCCGCCGCCGCCGGTGCGCCGCACCTGCGTGTAGCTCCAGATGGTCCCGGGCAGGCGGCCGTAGTGCTGCAGGTGCGGGCCGCCGCCGGGGGGCAGGCCGCCCAGGGCCACGGCGTTGGCGTTCACGCCGGCCGCCGCGCCGCCGCCGCTGCAGTGCCCGGTGCCGGGCGCGGGCGGCCGCAGCAGCTCAGGCCCGGTCTGCACGGCCTGCTCGCGGGAGAAGGTCTTGTAGCGCAGCCGCCGCTCGCGCTCGCTCTGCTGCTGCTCCAGCTGCTTCTCCAGCAGCCGGTTGCGCCGCTCCAGCTCGTGCACCTTGGCCAGGAAGCAGCGGAAGCGCACGTTGAGCCCCTTCAGGAGGTGGATGTTGGAGCCCAGGTCGTCCCGCAGCGCCGCCGTCACCGGCGACGGCCCTGGCCCGGCACCGCCGCCGCCGCCGCCTCCGCCGGGGCAGCCCCCGCCGCCGCCCGGCGGGCAGCCGAAGGCCAAGGCCATCTCCCCGAACAGCAGCGAGTTCACCATGCGCCGGCCGCGCGGCTCCGGGCCCCGGGCCCGTGGCTCCAGATGCGGCTCCAGCTCCGGGCAGGGCTCCCGGCGCGGCCGGGCCAGGGTGGGCGCGGGTTCCAGCGCGGCCGGCCGGGCGGTTCCAGATGCGCGCCAGATGCGGCCTCCGCAGCGACGACGGGCGGGATTCCCCCCGGATGTGGGCGCCGCGGCGAGGGATGGGGCTCGGCCGCTCCCCGGGACACGGTGGAGGCCGCGGTGGCTGCGCGAGGCTAGCGAGGGTCGCGGGTCCCACCGCCGGCGCTGTCAGAGACGCTGTGGATGGGCCGCGGCAGCCGCACGCAGAGGACTCTCAGCCGGCACTGCCCCTTCTGCAGCGGGCCCCGCCCACTGCAGACCTTAGCCCCGCCCCCGCACTAGCCCCGCCCATCCCTCCTCCCTCTGCGGCGCTCCAGGAACCCGAGGCTCCGCCCCCCAAAGTCTGCAGCGTCGGGCCACGCCCACATGGCCGTGGCTCCACCCACTCGCGGGCTCGCCTGGCTCTCTCCGCCCCGTAGACCGGCGGCTGTAGCTCTAGCCCCGCCCAGGTCCGCGGCTGGACCACGCCCTCTCCCGTGTCTGGTCCCGCCTCCCCGCCGAGCTCTGAGTCTCCGCCCGGGGACACGGACCGCAGAGCTGCACCAGAGACCTGGTTAGCTGGAGCCGCCGCAGCGCCAGCCCGGCCCTTAAAGGGGCGGCGGCCTCGGCCGCGCTCGCTTCCCTCTTCAGGACGCGCCTGTCCACGTCGTCTGCTGAGGGGCGCCACATGTCTGTCTTCTCCGCCCCAGCTCCCCCAGCCCCACGTTTCCACAGACGCGGGAGACCGCGGCCTCGAAGGGCTGGGGAATCACGGCGTCTGAAGGTGCAGCGGCGCCCTACCCCCACGCCAGCCCGGTGGCCTAGATCGACTGTCCCCGGATAAGGCAGCGTTTCCGCCGGCGCGTCCCCACGCGGCAGACCCGGAGGTGGACTCCTCGGCCGCTTGCCCCTCCTCTAGCGACGGGCCTTGTCTTCCCGAGATCGGCCTGGGCACTGCCGAGTCCGCTGGTCCCCAGACCTACGGGGGCGCTGGGCCACGTGGGGCAGGGGGTCAATCAAATGCCGTCCTGGAATGACATCCGCAAGCTTGGCCTGGGCCTGGCCTGCTCAGGGCTGCTTTGGCTCCCCAGCCCTGACTGACCCCTCCCCGCCACCGCACACTCACACTCACACGCTGAGGTTCGGCTGCCCCAGAGCCGGGGGTAGCATGGGTGGGGGAACCGGTTCTGAGGACCGAGCCAACCCAAGGACCCATTCATTCAAATATGTTTTCACACCTAGCACCCTGAAGGCCAAATTCTCCAGTCTCCTTTGCAAATAGTAGTGTCTGTCAAGCCTCATACTTAGCTATTGCCCCCGTTTTACAGAGGTTACTGAGACCTGAGTAGCCCCGACGAGTCCAAAGCCCACGCTCCAGCCGGCCTTCCACAGCGCTGGCCTCTCGTCCATTTCCACATTTCATCGTTGCAAACCACAAACCTCACAGGGGAAGTGACCCCCACCTTCGAACGCCTGTGGCTTGCATTGTGTGCACTTAACCAGATCTGTGGCATGTTCTAGATTCTTCTGGCTGCATATTTTGAATTGCAATTTAATTTTTGTCTTGCTATTAACTTTTGTGTTTGTTTTGTCTCTTTGTAAGCTTGAGGGCAGGTACCCAGTCTTACAGGAACAATGCCTTGGTATTCTTGCTGACAAAAGGGACACAAAGGAGACAGGGGCTGGTTCTACGGTGATGCTGTGGCAGTGATGTTAGTCTGCTGTGTTTTTGATTCTGCCACAAAAGCAGACCCTCCCCATATTTCCTGCCCTCAATCCCAGCTCCTTGCTCACTGCCAAAGTGGACTCACCTCTTACCATACCCAGATCTGAAACTCACCTGTCTTGAAATCTTTCCCGGTTTAGCCCAATACAATGTGGTCACTGCTCTTTGTTCTCTCATCCCTTGATGATTTTCTTGTTTATTTTACCTAAAGAAGCAAAACACCTTTGCTTTAAAGTAAGGGTTCCCAGACCCTGAGAAGACTAAGGCTAGAGTTCTGGGGCTTCCATGACATTGGGATGGATAAAAGTTATATCTTTATTTTTACTAATTTCTCCACGGTTTTTAGCATTTCCTTTGATTGTGAATGTAGGCAGCAAATATCTCAAGATACCATGTAAGCTACCAGAACTCTGAAATTAAGGTCATATTAGACCCACCACCAAATCGTATTTAGTATATTAATAAAGAAGCACATATGTTACTGTATCACAAATTTGTTTTGTTAATACTTTGACATCTGCATTTTAGTAAAATTGTTTTCATTGTAATCGTAATGCATTTTTTAAAAATTGTTCTGAGAAGGGTCCCCAGGCTTCACTAGATGCCCAAGGGGACCCAGGGAACAGAAGAGGTTAAGAACACCTGGAGAATGGCTCCCTGCAACCTCTTCCTGGAAGGATCTGTCTTGCCAACAAAGTTGCCCTGGGATGGGGGTGTGAAACCCTCCTGGGGGGCAGGTAACCCTGTCCCGGGCACTAAAGAGGTCTAGACATTCCATGCTCATTTATTGAGCACGTGCTTTAGCACAGATGCTGCACTAAACACAGGAAAGGGCTTCAGGGGCCCAAAAAAACCAACCTGAGATGTGGGGTGGTGGGGTGCAGAGGAGGGAAGCCTGGCCCAGAGGAGATCATTGAGCAGAGGCCAGAAGATCTAAAGGAACTGGCGGAAGTGGGAAAGGGTTTACAGCAGAGTTGTAGAAACATGATTCATACAAAGAAAATGTCTAGAAAACAGTCCTGTGGCCACATAGGAGCAAAAGTGAAATGCCGTGTATCTTGCTCATTGTAGGTAAGATGAGAGGCAAGTTTAACCTAACAGCCTTCCAGCTCGGATGGCCAACCGTCCCAATTTGCCCAAGACCGAGGGGAGGTTTCTCTTGATGCAGGACTTTCAATGCTAAAACCTGGAACGTCCCAAGCAAACCAGAACGAGTTGGTCACCCTACTCCAGCCCATGTCCATCTGGAGACTTCTGAGGCCAGAAGTCCTGACTACCAACGTCAGCCGGCCCGAATGCAGCAAGCGCAATGCTGCCTTTTTAGGGATGAAAGAACTAAGTAAGGCCAGAGAGAGGTAGGGACTAGCCCAGGTCACCTGAATAGTTGGTGGCAAAGCCGGGTCTAGAATTCTGGTCCCACTCCCTGTCCAATGGTGGGTCCTACCCCTAGCTGGGCAATGAATTCAGTGGCCCCTTCTCCTCAGCCCCAGATACCCTTTGGGTTGGCTCTCTGATTCAAGATCCAAATGGGGCTAAATATGGCTCCTCATCAGGTGGGCGGTCATTCCAATAGACAAAGGAACATCCCCGGGGGGACATGCCATCCTCCACCCACTGGACGAGCATGGGTTTTTCAGCAAGGCACATCCCCAGGGCCCTCAAAGTCACGGAGATATGTCTAACCTGCCTGGTTAAGAGCTGGGCCTCTGAGACAAGAGACTGGCTTAGACTTGTGTCTCTGCTCCAGCGTGTAACTTGGCAAGTCACTTCGCCTCTCTGAGGCTCCATTTCTTCATCAGGGAGATGGGCTCAGCTTCACCTACGAGGCCTTTTCTGCACCCCTGCCTCATCTCTCACAGTCACCCTGCCTGCCCTGTCAACGTGCCACACGTGGCAGGCTCTCAATGAGCAGTTTCTGAATGAACGAATAAAAAATTAAGAAATGAATGAACAAATGACTTTCATTCTTCCCACCACCCCCTCCCCAGCCATTTCACCTAGCAACTGTTCCTCAGCCTTCAGGTCCCAGCCTCACACACAGAACCTTCCCTGCCTTCTCAGCATGCGCGAGGTCCCGGCTGAGGCCCCATCAGCACTGTGCTTCCTGCGGCAGCCCCAGGGACGCTCTCTTGTCATTGCTGGCGGCGTTCTCGTCTGCACCTGCCTCTCTCTGACTCCAGCCTTCCGACACTCACTAGACCTCGCTCTCCATTAGGACAAGGTCTGGTTCATATCCTGGCATGGTACCCAGCACGTAATAGGTGCTCAACAAAGATGAGTCCAGGTAAACAAACAAATGAGCTGTTCATACTGGAGAAATCCCAGTAAAGTGCATAATGGGTGCTCAGTAAATGTTATATTTGCAAATTTCAATTA